CAGACAAACCTCACCCACACTAGCATCCCTTGTCCGATGCATATGTTCTTTATCATTAATGACTTTAAACCAGTGGAAAGGTTGAAAATTAGCATAGTGAATAGAGCCAGTTAGTATTTTATCAGATTTGCTCTGTCTCTCTCTGCCACTGTCCTATGCCTCTCTACCTACCCCTTTCCCACAAGCACCCCAAGAGGGCCAGGGTCACAGGGATATCTGATAACAAGCAATGACAGCCAATCCATGATGAAAAAGATACCTTTCACATTGTGAAGTTAAGGAAAAATTGGGGGAGCATTACTATCTGATCCATTTTTTGTTGCTATAACAAAATACCCAAGACTAGGTACTTTATGAAGGAGACATGTTTATTTTGACTCACAGATGGGGGTTGATGAATTTCAAGATCGGGATTTAGTTTCTGATGAGGGTTTCAAAGATTCAACTCATGGCAGAAAGACAGAAAGGAGAAGTGAGTGGGTAAGGAAAGCACGCATGTGAGTGAGACTAAGGGGAGGTGCCAGGTTTATTTTGTAACAACCCACTCCCATGGTAACCAATTCAGTTTCAAAGACTTAACTTGCTTCCTCAAGATGGATATTAATCCATTCTAAGAGTGGTATGTCCGCTCTTAAACCTAATCATGTCCTACTAAGCCCCACCTTTTAAAGGTCCCACCACCTCTCAAGACCTTTACACTGATGACCAACCTTCTAGTATACAAACTGTTGGGAGAGATCCATATCTATACCTACTTTAAGGTCCTATCACCATCCCTGCTCCTCAATATCCTTCAGTGATGGTTTTCACATCTGTTGATGATCCTTGCCCAAGTCAACAATGCTAGTCGAAAGTTTGTTTTGGTTGTTCTATGGAACTGAGGATATTTTGAATTCACTACGCTATCATCTATTAACCAATATTCCTTTGGGGTCAGCGAGTGCTCCTTCAATTGGCTTCTCTGTATTTTAAAAATATTTTATTTATTATTTTTATTTTATGCATATGAGTGTATTACTCGCCTGTGTATAAGTACACCTGCATCAAACAATACCCTAAGAGGTCAGAAGAGAGCAAAAGATCTCCTGGAATGGGAGTTACAGATGGTAGTTAGCTGCCATGTGGGTGCTGGGAACTGAACCAGGTCCTCCTCAAGAGCAGCCAGCACTCCCAACCACTGAGCCATCTCTCCAGCCCCTTCTCTGTTTTTGTGTGTGTGTGGGCGGGGGGTTTGTCTTTTTGAGAGAGGGTGTCCCTGTAGCCCCAGCTGGCCTGGAACTCATTATGTAGACCAGGCTGGCCTTGAACTCACAAAGATCCCACTGACCATGCCTCCTGAGTGCTGGAATTAAAGTTATATGCTACCATGCCTGGCCTTTCTCTGTATTTTAAAATTTTATTTATATTTTATGTATATGAGTGTTTTGCCTGCATGTATGTATGTGGACCCATGATGTTCAATGCCTGCAAAGGCCAGAGGAGGGCATTGGATCCCCTGAAGCTGGAGTTATGGGTGTTTGTTAGCTGCTACGTGTGTGTTGGGAAGTGAACCTGGGTCTTCTGCAAGCGCAGCCAGTACTCTTAACCATTGAGCCATCCTTCTCTGTATTTTTGACATGTTCCCCTTAATCACAGCAGTTTCTTGCTTTTAAGAAAAGCAAAATGCTCTAGGTTCACCTGCTTCTTATCTTTCCCTAGTCTGTAACAGGTCATGTCTCTAAGGACTCCTAACCTCTCTGAATGGGCAAGGGCATCTAGAAAACAATTATGAGGGCTGGGGCTGGGGATATAACAGTAGTAGAATGATCGAGGCCCTGGGTTCAAACCCCAGCACTGCCAAACACACACACACACACACACACACACACACACACACATATAACAGTAGTAGAATGAGCGAGGCGCTGGGTTCAAACCCCAGCACTGCCACACACACACACACACACACACACACACACACACACACACACACACACGGAAACAAAAATGATTGCCAGGGGTATGCCAGTGCTTCTAGCCTTTTCACAATTTTAGAAACTCACCGCAGCTAACACTACTGCCAGCCCAGGCTAAGCTCTCTCTTGCATAATTTTATTTAATCCTTACAATAGGCTTGTGAGGTGTGTGGTAGTGTCATCTCTACTCTATACCTGAGTTCGAAAGTCTCAAGAAACCTTCGCCAATTGGAATCCAAATGTTCCAGATTTTCCTTCCCCAGCCCAGCCCACATCCTGAGAGCCTATTATCTGCCTGGTGCCAGATCACGTTTACTCTCACTGATTTCATAATAATGTGATGAAGATCCGAGTTCCCATTCTACAGATGGGGAGGCTGAGGCTTGGTGGGGAGGCTATGTGATTACAACAGGTTGTCGATGAGGAAAGACAGACAGAGCTGTGTTATGGGTCATGGCCAGTCTCTGGTTCCCCTCACTGACTGTCACATTTTCTCCTACTTAGGTCAAGACTGTGTCAAGTCAAAGTGTGGTTCCCAAGGCCCTCTCAGGTCCAATTCACTGCTGCCCCAGCTTTTGCCATCTACTGGCACCATAGATGGGACAGAGACAGGGAAGAAGGAGCGTGTGAGTGGCTGGGAGTGAAGTGGCCACGTGCCCACTGGTTCCTGCACAGGATTTCTCTGTGTGCTGATGGCAGTCGTGGCCTTGTCTCGGCTGAGGAGGACAGACCAGGAACACGTTTCAAGCCACTTGCTCCAAAGCTGTTCAGAGACCTGAGATCCCAAATCTGAGAGGGGAGTTCTCTGCACTGTAGTATCAGTGCACAGGGCCTGGAGTCAGAAGATGTGATTTCTATAAGATATTATGTATGTCATTGCTAGATCCCAAGCCTCAGTTACTTCTTTTAAATAATGGCATAATAGTATTCATCTACCTCCCAGGGTCCTTAGAGAAGTCGAGCTACGGCAACTGAAGTGTTTAACTCAGGGCCTCATCTGGTGTGTGCTGTATAAGTATCACCTGGGTCTGTGACTGCTTCAAGGAGGGCAGGGCACCAGACAGCAGCAAAAGGAAGAAAACTGGTCCATATGGTTGGCTTCTGCTGGCTCTACATTTCCTAACCAGGTCAGCTCCACTGTAACTGAACATTGGCTTTAAGAAAATCAATTACTTTTTAATGAAGTTCAAGGGAGAAAATAATTTCAGAGTTGCCTGGTGCCCATGTGAGACCTGTTGCTGTCACAGAGAAAAGTGGGAAGCAGAGGGTGGAGGGGCAGTAATAGAAGGCAGGCAGGAGAGTCTTCTACCTCTAGAGCATTGCAGGCTGACAGCAGAAGTCCTTAGCGATGCTCCATTGCCAACCTATCATCATCTCTGGGAGGCTGTGGGCACCACAGTCTTCAGTGTACAGAACTGGAGGCCTCATCCAGAGTAGGGCTGGTCTTTCCTATCTCAGCAAATATCCATCCAGTCATTGCTCCATTAGGCCCTGTATTTGTCAGCTTTGTATTGCTATGATGAAAGTCTGGAGGCAATTAACTTATCAAAAGAAAAGTGTTATTTTTGTTCATGGTTCTGAAGATTCATGTGTGATATCAGACAGCCAGGATCTGGAAGGGGCAGCACACATCATGGCACGGGCATGACAAAACAAACGGAGTCATAAGACAGGAGAAAGGGAGTGGGGAGGAGGGAAGGGAAGGAACTTGCTGCATAGCCGGCTCCAGGCCAGACTGGGCTACAAAGAGAGACCTTGGGGATGAGGAGGAAAGAGAGAGGTAGGGAGGGAAAAGGAAGAAAGATAAAAGAAGAAAAGTTGGTAAAAACAGGGTAGTGGCAAAAAGAATGCTATGCTGGGCAGAGCTGGGTCAGGCTGGGCAGAGCTGGGTCAGGTTGGGCAAGGCAGGGCAGGGTTGGACTGGGCATCTTTGGGAACAGGATGGTCTCTCTAGAGAAGCTATTTGGAGTTCTGTCTGAGGTTACTCTATAGAGTACCACCCAGAAGGCACAGCTCTTAAAGCATCCAGGGCAGTGTGTCTAAACCACAGGTCCAGCCAAGGCCACAGGTGGGGGTAGGCTAAAGCTGGTCATCACTGCAGTCCAACAGGTCACAGCAGCTGCAGAACAGATCACTGAGAAGCCAGAAGGGAACCAGACTGCAGGTTCAGTGAAAGGGCATGGCCCATCCTGGAGGGCAGTGTGGGAGGAAACACCACCATGGTTCAACCCCAGAGATGGATCAGGATTTGCAGCTTAAGGTGGGCTGTATGGAGGAGCAGGGACAAGGAAGAGAGGGTTGCTCCAGCTGCACTGTTTTGAGCCTCTATTCTCAGGGAAGCCCTCTGCCTATGTTCCTCCTGGTGGGGGCAGGCAGGGAAGACTGCTGAAACCCGGCCCAACAGACGGAGGCCCAAGGGAATGAGAAGCTAGCTCATTCTCCACCTGGCTACAGCCAGAAGATGAGGCAGCCTCATTCTGTCTGCCATCTGCTTCTGGAGAGAAACAGGATCCTCTAGGATCCCCCAGACCATGATGTTGGGAGAGACCTTAAAGGAAGAGCTATCCAGGCCTTACTGGTACTGGCAGGGAGTGGTGCATTGAAGACCTGCAAGGTGGGAGCCCTTTGGATGAATGACTGCCAAGCACTATAAAGGCTTGGCCCCCAGGTGGCATGGCTTGGGGGAGTAGAAACTTGAAGAATTGGAGCTCAATGGGAGGTCCTAACGTCCTTAAGGACAGTAAACCCTAAATGGGAGTTGTAGGACCCCAGTCTCCTCATCTCCACTCCTCAACTCTTCCTACCCCCAGTCTCCTCCTCTCCTCTCCCCTCCTGGTACTTGCTATGTAACCCAGGCTGGCCCCAAACTCAGGATCTTCTTGCCTCAGCTTCCCAAGAGTGTAAGAAACAAGACCCTTACTCCATAATAACCAATTCAAGAGACCAGGGAAAAGTGAAGCAATCTTTATGATTCTACAGAAACAACAGACATCAACCTAGCAAAAAATGGCTGGTGCATCACTTCGGAGCAAAACAGTGGTTTTTAAAATCTCTTGTGAAAAATTCCTGCCCTCTTTTTCCCCATAGGCTGGTATTCCAGAGAATTACAATTTTCCCGCTCTTCTGGCATAGCCCCCTCCCCAAACTCCCCGTGCTATTGGTTTAGGACACAAAGTCTATGTAATGTATATAGCCTGGGGCTTGAGATTCCTTCCTTTTCTGTGTGGCTCAGTCACCTAGCAGACTGCCTATATTTTCTCAACCCTCAGAGCATCTAGACAATCAGGCACAAGCTGTCTGCAGGGAAGACAGGGGCCTAGTGCCTCCTGTTTATCTGCGATTCTCTGATGAGCCCTAAACATACCGCAAGCTGAGAATGGGCCACAGTCATTCATTTCTTGCATGAGTGCTGGGATTGCAGCATATGCCATCGCGCCAGTTCTCCACATTTCTCACTGTGTGGCTCTGCCTTGCTCATGTATTCATTAACTTGCTGCGTTAGTCTGCTTTCCATTACTGACAAAACACCCAAGAAAATCTGTTTAACAAAGGAGAAAAGGGTTATTTTGGCTAACAGTTTCAGTTTTGAGCCTGTGGCTATCTGGTTCTGTCACTTTGAGCCTGTGGAAACAGTGCCGGGAGCACATGGCAGAGGTGCCAATTCATCTCAGCACAGCTACGAGGCAAAAGGAAGGCCAGCATGGGGCCGCATACCAGCAGCTGATTCCAGCACACACCTTTAATGCCCTAATTTCCTCCTACTAGACTTTGCCTCCTGATGGCACCTTGGGCTGGGGCTCAAGCCTTCAACACCTGGCCTTGTGGAGCCCTTATCCAAGCTGTAATGCTTGCTTATGGCAACAACATGCTCTTAGAGCATGAAGTCATCAGGGTAAGGGCTCAGCCTTGTTCTCTGCTGGTCCTGGCATACAGTAGGTGCTCAATTAAACATTTGTTGAGGGAGGTGCTACCCGAAGCCCTTCTTCCAGGGGACTGAGCAGTGGCTTGAAGCCTGCTAGGCTCTTTCTCCACCACATCTTGATTTTCAGCTGAGGCAGCAGAGCAGGGTGGAGACTCAAACCAGGCTTAGAAGACATTTATATCTGTGTTTGGATACAGGTTGCAAATCTCAGAAAGTGACTGAACCTCTTAGAGTCTTTGTTTTCTTGACCAGCACGTGAAGAATCTTACCAACTTGTGACCACCCAATAGGATGCTATCAACCAAGCAGCAGGCATGGGGCCGGCACCCAGAGGCCCCATACCAGTGATTGGCTCCCTGGGTGCTGAGTGGGTGTGTTCGTGTTCATTGTTTTAACAACGGTATCCTCCTCCACTGGCCTGTGCCTCTCTCTGCTGTGATTGGGGAATCCCAGGTTCCACATGTGGTTCCCCTTCTGCCACAGAGTTGGTGGGATCACAGGCCCTGGAAGGAGTCCACTGCCACCAGGACCTCTGTCCCCGGGGAGGGCATGTGACGCCTGGGTTCCTGCAGTCACTGTTTGGTGGTCTGCTTTGGCGGTTAGCTGTTCCTTCCAGAGAGAAAGCCACTGTGGTCCCTGTCCTGGGCTGTGCAGAGGCTATTTTTAGATTTCTGGCTTCATAACAACTCTGGAATTTCCTCTCTCTCTCTCTCTCTCTCTCTCTCTCTCTCTCTCTCTCAAGTCAAGTCAACCTAAACCTTAAACTAATGGCCCCCAGAGACTGCACAATACATCAGGATTGACCAAACCCCACAGTACATAACCTCTGCAGTCCCTAGACACCTTCAGGACTGGAGCTTCTGTTACCCCACAGACCTGGGCTCCTGGTGGTTGGAGCTAGGCATCATCTAGAGCTGCTGGAGAGAGCTGCTGCCTGTTGGGAGGTGCTGGAAGGGTGTTCGCAACAGGCATACTCTGTGGTCTTGTTCTCTATCAACAGGTGAAGAGAAAGGGGACCATTTAAGGGTGGCTGTCTCAAGGAAAGGCGCTTTGGGGTAGCCTGAGCTCACTCGCAGGTGTGCCCTCAGTTCCCATCAAGCAGTGCACAGTCATTCACCATCGAGGGAGACTAAGGCCCAGTTCCTTTCCTAGGATAGGACTGGGACCCCACAACCATCGAGTCAGTTACCCCGCACAAGGCCCTGAGCTCCTGGTCCTGAATGATAAAACAAGAATGAAAACCTTCAACTTCAACCATCGACAGGGACACAGAGAACTTCGCACGGCAGAGCCCAGCAGCAAACTTGGATGCCCTAGACTGTAGGCTGGACTGGAGGATAGCCTTCACTGGTCCTTTGGCTAGTGGCTGCAGCAGGCAGCCGAGGAAGAGTAGTGGAAAATGTCCTTTGCGGAAGTAACGCGAAGGACTGGCCCTGAGGGAGCGTGGAGCAGGGAGCAAGGGTAGCTGGGCTCTCGGCCCCCTGCCTCTGCATAAAGGGGGAGGGGGAGGCTGCAGGAGCGGACGCTGTTTCCACCCAGTGGGCCACAGTCCAGATGCCACCTGCCTCTCTGAGCTGTTTGTCCGGGTCCCAGGGATGGGCGCGTCCATCCTTGTAGTGCTGATGCCCAGCTTTGCGTCTAAGCCCCGGGCAGAACCTCGGAGCTGAATAAGGACCTTAGCACGGTCGCTTCTTCACCAGCTCTTTTGACAGAGGCAAAGGCTAAGAAAAGCTTTATTTCTAGCTCTTGAGGGAGCTAGACATGCTCCATCCAAACAGGCTCACCTGAGGCTTTCTGCTTAAACGGGGAGAAGCTTCCCTCTGCTGGACACAGCTGGAAACGCCGCGCGTGCTCTGCAATGCTGGTCAAGACAGGATTTAGAAGCTTTGATTTTCCACCTCTGGCTTCTGATTTCTTTCTTTCTTTTCTGGTGCCCCATTCTCCTACCCCACAACCCTGTTCCTGCCGATTCCAACTCTTAACCCTGTGACTACCAGGTGAAAGCTAACAGCATGGATAGGATAGGATTCCTTTTTAGAAGAAAACAGTTAACAAACCCCAGAAAGGAAAGTAAAAATACTCATTAAAAATTCACACTACCAGGGCTGGAGAGATAACTCAGCGGTTAAGAACACTTGCTGCTCTTCAAGGGGACCCAGCTTTGGCTCCCAGAACCCACATGACAGCGAACAACTGTCTTTAACTCCAGTTTCAGCGAATCTGACACCCTCTTCTGGCTTCAGGGGCACTTACATGCAGGCAAAATGCTCATATCCATAAAATAAAAATAAATAAAAATTTAAAACTCACATTATCAAGGTCACAAAGTTTTAAAACTGATAATTTATTTCCATGTAGCAGAGAAACTCTCATTACCAGTGCATCCTCGAGGACTGCTGAGCAGGAGGGGCAGTGGTCATCCTCATCAACGCACATTCTAGAATTCACGATACCCTAAGTTCTTGTTAATAATTTTGATAACAGCCAGTGAACTCTTTCGGCTCGGGGGCAGAAACACTCCCCAAAGCAGTTGGCTACCTGCATTAATTTACAGAAAGCAGAAAAGCTCCAGAGGACTGGCTAATACCCTACTGAAAAGTGGCTGAGAATGAATACGCATGGAGTCTCGCGTCTGTGCCAGGCGCTGCTGCCACTGTCATGTTCTCAAATGGAGAAGAGGCCAGCCCCACTCCATCAAGCAGAGTTGGAGTTCTGTGAACTGAGGATGACTGGAGGGGCCCTGGGTGAGTCACCTTGGTTTCTTTCTCTAAAGGATAACAGAAGTCTTAGTCAGGCTTGTGACGCACAATTGAAATCCCAGCACCTGGGGGCAAAGGCAGGAGGAGCTTAAACAGGACCACCTGGGCTGCACAAGGAGCCCCTGTTGCAACTACTGACTGTTGCAAACAAGCAAACTGATTAGAAGCAAAGGAGAGCGCCACTGTCAACATTACAGAGTTCTCGTAAAAAAAAAGAACTTATAAAAATGACACTACAGTGCCTGGCTTGCACTATGCCTTCAATACGGGTCAGCTATCATTTTAATGTCATTCAATCTTCATAAAGCTCCATGAGAAACTGGAAATAGTGGCCTATTTTGAAAATCAAGATATTTATTTTTGTGTGCATATGTGTGCTAGAGATTAAACCCAGGGCCTCCTGTATACTAAGCAAGTGTTCTATTCTAGCACTGAGCTACGCGTCCCAGCTGACATAGAGATTGAAGTTTGTAAAAGCATGGTACTTACCTATCTGCCTGGGAATGAGGGTAGGGCTTGGATACAAGGTGAAGGATTCTACCTGTGAGGCTGTTTTCTGTCCACAGCTCTGGGAAAATCCTCAATAGGCTGAAAACAGACCAACCTTGGTTTCTTGGTAGTTTTCATTTTTCCCTCTGTATAGAGTAAACCTAGAACCTAAGGCCTTCAGCTACTTCTTCACTAAGCTTTGATTTGGGTATATTTCAAAAGATGGTTGTCCTGGGCATAAACCATGCTTAGCATTGCAAATCTGGAGAGGGCTTGGAGATCATTTCTTAAAACATACTACAGTTAAACATTTTTATTTTAAAGTTGAGTATGGTGGCACATGCCTTTAATCCCAGCACTCAGGAGACAGAGGCAGATGAATCTCTGTGAGGTTGAGGCCAACCTGTCTATATATCGAGTTCCAGTTCAACTGGGGATACAGGGAGACCCTGTCTCAAAAAAGACCAACAAAATTTTATTATTTTATTATTATTATTTATATTATATTTATTACTATTTTATTTGTGTATTTTTATTATATGTGTATGAGTGTTCTTGCCTACATGTAAGTGTACTGTGTATGCAGTGTCTGCAAAGGCCAGAAGAGGGCATTGGATCCCTTAGAACTAGAGTTAAGGATGGCTGTTAGCTAAGATGTAGATGCTGGGAACAGAACCTGCATCCTCTGGAAGAACAGACAGTGCTCTTAACTACTGATCCAACGCTCCAGCCCCTGATTTTATTATTAATTTTTGAGACAGGGTCTCACTGTAGTCTTGGCTAGTCTAGAACTTGCTATGCAGACCACACTGACCTGGAACTTGCTATGTATACCAGGCTGGTTTCAGACTTATAGAGATCTGCCTGCCTCTGCCTCCTGAATACTGGAATTAAAGGTGTGCACTGCCATACCAGGGAGGTTTGCTTTTTTGAGCATTAACTTACAGCTACAGTGGAGAATAGATTGTTAAATTATATTTTATTTATTTCATGCGCATGTATGTGTGGGTGCACATACTACAGCATGCATATGGAAGACAGCAGACAACTTGTGGGAGTTGGTTCTCTCCTTCCACCATGTAGGTCCTGGGAATCACATTCAGGTCTAAGGCTTGGCAGCTACTGCCTTTACCTACCGAGTCATCTCTCTGGCCCTGAAATAGATTTTACGGCCTTATAAGCAAGTTTTGCCATGGTAAGCTATGCTCCCAAATCATCCAGGATGGCTATTTTAGCTCTTGCTCACACTTCTGAAGGGCTGATGCTGCCTCATGCTCAGTCCAGCTGCCCTGTCATCACAGGACCAGCTGAAGACCAGTCCCACATAGCTGAGACCAGAAACAGTAGCCCAGACATACCTGCTCTACAACCCAAGTGAGTTAAAGGCACAGACAGACCAGGTGGGAGGCTGGGAGGAATAGAACTCCTAGAGAGAAGGAAAGAGTGAATAACTGCCCAGTCATGCTGCCTACCCAGGGCAGAGCCCAGGAGCCAGAGCCCAGGAAGATGACTGTGTCTGTCATGGCTAGATGATGATGACGTAGGCCCCAGTGAAGAGTGGAGATGGCTGGAAGAGAAGACTGCTGTGTGTTTGAAAGGTAATGTCCCATGACCCACGTGAAAGGAACAGCGAGAAAAGGGAAGAACCCTGTAGAATTTTTGGAATGAGTATCTGTGTGGACAACAGTACTCCTTGTTGAGAGGGAGTTGTTAGGCCATGTTATGATGCTTGTGAGCCATGCACATGGAGAGGATGAAGAGGTGGTTGGATTGAGGGTGGGTCTGGAATTTCCAGGGAGCAGGAAGGAGCATCCACTTCATTGTTGCTAGGTCTGGATGTGGTTTGTCCTCTGTGGTTCATGTGTTAGAAGCCCTAGGGGGTATTGTTGGGAGTTGGGCATCGTGGGATGCCTTGAGCATACTGCCCTCAGAAGGGACTATGGCAGTGCCCAAGGGACCCCTGAGCTCCCACAAGAATGAGTTGTTCTACAAGTGAGTGTTCCCTGAATCTCTCTGGCTTCCTATTGGGTGACGTTCTCATTCTCTCTCTCTCTCTCTCTCTCTCTCTCTGTCTGTCTCTCCCTACACACACACATACACACACACACACACACACACACACACACACATTCCTGCATTCCTGTCATTTTCCCTGAGGTCCTAATTAGAGCTCAGGTGAGGCCAGTGTCATGCCTTTGAAACTCCCAAGCAGTGCTCTGTAGTAAGCCCCTTTGCTCTATAAAGTTAATCTGCTTCAGGAATTTTGTTATAGTAATGGAAAACAGACTAATACACCTTCTTTGTGCCTACTCTCATGTTCCCTTCATAAGCAGGGAATTTTGGAACATTTGATGCCATGGGAGTATGAAGAGCTATGATTTCCAAGTAGGAGAATAGGGAGGTAAAACACATTTAATGTTTTTGGAGGTACTAACAGCTTTCTGTTGTCCTTGCTAACTGGTGTAGGAGCATATGGATTAATCAGAGACACCTCTGGGCAGGAAGTAGCCTGCATAGGTGGGGTATCAGAACCCAAGCACAGTGAGAGGTGCCTTCACTGGGTCACGGAATCAGGAGTCAACAGGATCAGGGGAGTTTGAAGATGGTGTCCTCCCACAGGCCCAGTGTGGCCACTCACAGGAAGATTGGGCCAACTATTGAATGTATAAAGGACCATGGGAGCCAAGTTTCTCACTGACAGGGAAGGAAGGTACAAATATGGGAAGGGGGTGGCTAGAATGTTTCTAGGCTTGGATTTGGAGGTATTTATGGGAACTCACAGGTTTTAATAGTTAAATAGGATACCAGTAGATGTGGGTTGTTCTAAAAGTATAGGACTTGAGTGGCTTAAACAGCAAGTGTTTATTTTCCAACAATTCTGAAGACTGGGAAGTCTAAGATTAACATACCAGCTTGTGGTCTGTTCATTCTCTCTTTATTCTCCCCTTCATATGGAGAGATAGGGAGGGAAAGAGGGAAGAGGGAATGGAGGGAGGGAGGGATGGAAGGAAGGAAGGAGGGAGGGAAGGAGGAGAGAGAAATCCTTAATGTCTCTTTCTCTTATAAGGACACTAATTCTATTGGGTTAGGGTCCCACCTTTATGATCTGGTTTAATCATTATTACCTCTTTAAACACCTTTCGATAAATATGATCATATTGGGGATAGGGCCTCAGCATAGGATTGGGGAGCCATAAATTTAGTGCATATCAGATAAATACAGAAGTACATATAGCTATAAATGAGTTTATGTGTCTGTTTCATAGCTGTATCTGTATGTCAGCATCTATAAGCATATATCTATGGCTCTATCTCTAAATTTGTATATCTCTATCTATATATGTCTGCACCCCTTATCCATATATTCATGCCCATGTTCCTGTAGGTCCATCCATGTGCCTATATGTAATCTACACATAGAGCCCCTACTCCACCCCCCAGGTCAGTCTGAAAGCCATGGCATTCATACAATGAAGAGCATGTTCAATGCTTAGATCTTGCTTTCTCAGTCACAAAAGATGGCTGGAAGAAGCTCTTGGTGGCTAGATGAGAGGTGACGTGAGCATGAAAATTCACGACAATAGTAACAGAGGATCCATGAAATACAGTAGGA